CTTATTAACTTCCGTGCCATACATGGCTTCCCACAGGTAATTTTTTCAGGTAGTAATTTCATTGATGAAGTTTATCGCGGCCTCTTAGCCGGAGAGGCCAGGCGCGGCCGGGCGGCGGCAGGTGGCAGGTGGCAGGAGGGCGGGGACTGGAGCCGAGGCGCCGCCGCCCGCGCACCCGTTTTGTTGTTGTTGGGAGCCAGGTCCGGGCCCTTTAAGCCGGAAGCCGCAGGCCGGAAGTGCGTCACGCGCGGCCCTACCGACGCCCCGCCCGCCGGACCCGCCGACCACCCGCGCCGGGTTCCCCCAGGACAGCCCGGGCGCAGTTCCCGGCCAGCCCTGCGCCGCCGGAGCCCGCGGGGCCTCACGCAGGCCTCACCGCTAGCTTAGCGGGCGTTGGCATGTCCTGCTTGGACCAGACCCCGAAGATTTGGGGCGGGTTCCTCCATCCTAAGAGTTGTCTCTGGAAAAGTCTGATGTTAAATCAGACTTCTCAAAATGTTTAGTGTGGACTGTCTGCAAAGCAAGGTTCCCGCAGCTTTAGCGGAGAGACCGTGGGGCACTTTGCAGAAGGCGCAGAGGCTTTCAGATCACCCTGAAGTCTACCTCCTAGTGTGAGTGGTTAGTTAACCTTCCTGAGCCTCAGTTTACTTCTGATGGAGCCCGTGATGCCTACCTGACTGCGTGCTGTTGAGTCCATGAGCGATGTATGGAAACCGTCCGGTACAGGTCTAGCGAGTGGCAGTCTCCCAGACACATGTTCATTTCCATTTCCTTCCTCTTGGTCTTCACAAAAGTTGACAAGTGTGTCCTGAGCACCTACTGTGTGTTCAGCACCGTGTTATTTTTCTGTTTTATGGCTTAAACATGGGAACGCAAAGGTTAAGTGCAGTGCCCCAAGCTGACTCACTCCGTTTTCTTCACGAGTTTGGGAGCCAGTGCAGTAAGTTAGAGTTGGTTAGATGTGCATTTTCACAGCTCCAGGAGTCCAGAGGATGCAAGCAGATGATTTGGGGGACTCTGGGGAGCTGGTCTCCTTTTCCTGTTTCAGGAGGGTTAGTGATGGTTTGCTACCACTGTGCTCGTGACCAAGAGCAAGTTCTCCCTCTCAGCCGCGCATGCAGCAGGATGGGTCCCTCACACCTCTCCTCCTGTACCTGGCCCTTTGTGGTAGGACACCTACCCCATCACCCATACCCTTTCAATGCTCTTCTGAAATAAGAGGAAGTCCTCTTTCTTGTCATGGGATAAGGACAGCTTGCTCCGGTTTTCTGTAGAAGTCTCTGGTCTTTTTCTGACTAGTCACTAGTACCTAATGAAACCTTTTTTTTCTAGCTGAAAAAAATGCCTTTTTAGACTCCCTTATATCTAAGGGCAGCCATTTTAACACAATTTGGCCAATAAGATGAAAGTTGAAGCTGCTGCTGGGGCTTCTGGGAAGGATGGACATGTGCAGATCGGGCTCATCCTTGCCCTACACCTGTCTCTCTCTTCCTGGAGGGGTAGAGGTGCAGCAACCATAGTTTAGTCACAAAGCAACAAACAGAGCAGAACAATTAAAAGATGCTGGATCCTTTATGGCACCATCGTGCCACCATATAAGCCCCAAACTGTCACCTCTATGGCTTCTTTTTTTGTCTAATTCCTATTTAAATCAGGAAGTCTCCACAACCACCCAAACCTGCAGATCTTGTCACTTATGCTTGTGACTCAGACTTCCAGGAATCCTTTAGAGCAGCGGTTCTCAACCTGTGGGGTCACGACCCCTTTGGGGGTGGAACCACCCTTTCACAGAGGTCAACTAAGACCATGGAAAACACATATAATTACATATTGTTTTTGTGATTAATCACTATGCTTTAATTATGTTCAATTTGTAACAATGAAAATACATCCTGCATATCAGATATTTACATTACAATTCATAACAGTAGCAAAATTACAGTTATGAAGTAGCAACGAAAATAATTTTATGGTTGGGGGTCACCACAACATGAGGAACTGTATTAAAGAGTCGCAGCATTAGGAAGGTTGAGAACCACTGCTTTAGAGTAATGGGGTCCTCTCACTGGGCACTGTGAAATGTACATTAATGAGAATATACATTAGTAAAAATATTAAAACAGAATGTACACCTCACTATGATAAGCACTATTCTTTTTTTGCTGTTAATTCTCACCAGACGGTATTTTCCCATTGTTTTTAGATAGAGAGAAACATCGATGTGAAGAGACACATCAATTGATTGCCTCCCACACACAGGTACGTGTATTTGACTTGGAATTGAACCCAAGACCCTTCCGTGCACGGGCCAATGCTCTAGCCAGGGCTGATGAGCACTATTTAAAGCAGAGCCCATCAAAGGTTCACTAGCATGGACAAAAATATTTTAAAGTGTAATGAACATTCAAGAGATTGAAATACATGGATATAAAAATGATATATATAGGGTCTGAAAAAGTGATTTTTTTTAACTTTATAGCCACCTGAATTAAGTACCTAAAAATGCTTTTGATGCTGTTGAACTTGGTCACAATAAAAACTGTACGTAAATATCCCATTTTTGTTAAATTATGTATATATGTAGAACCATGCATGAAAGTGGTCCCCAGAATACTGACAGTGTTTAACTTGGAACCTCCAGTAGGAAAAATAGATAGCATTGAGGGGATGCAATTCAGCAGTCACTCAGAGGCTGCTGTGGGCCTTGGGCGCCTAGTCATTGTGTGTGTCACAGATAAGAAAAGGAAGTGTAGCCTGACCGACGTGGCTCCGTGGTTGAGCATCAACCCATGAAACAAGAAGTCACCATTCGATTCCCTGTCAGGGCCCGGGTTGAGGGCTCCATCCCCAGTATGGGGCATGCAGGAGGCAGCCAATCAATGATTCTCTCTCATCATTGATATTTCTATCTCTCTCCCTCTACCTTCCTCTCTGAAATCAATAAAAAAAATCTATAAAAAAAAGAAAAGGAAATGTGAAAGAAGGATTGCATAGCTCAGCTTCCATTTGTTACTTAAGGACAGCCTGTAGTGAGTGCTTAAGAATAGGATGCTAATAGATAACAAAGATTTGTGATCGTTAAGACTAAATCTACTTTTAAGACTATTAACTAATTCAGTACACGTCATCTTAGTGGCTAGTTCAAGAATTTGGGTTGATCTGCCATTACAGTAGCTTTCTTTGTTAACAAATAAAAACAAAGATTTAAAAAATTATTTGTAAATAATAAAAACCGACTCCAGTATTTGTGAGGTGTTTATTTACTTCCAATTATTGTAATCTTTGGGGTGGGAAGGGCAGCTAGAAAAGCCTATACTGACTCAGTCTGCTATATTCCAATTTATTTTACTATTTTAAAGAAAATAAAGGCCTTGTTACTGGGGTTGGTTTGTTTGTTTTTTGCTGAAATGTGGAATACCTTTCAGGAAGGTAAAATACTTCATTGATATTGAATAACCTAGTTTGTGATATTTTGGCTTTTGTTTTTGGTGTGATTTTTTTAATAAACTCTTGGGAGGAAAGACTTTAGTCAAGTGATGATCTTGCAGTTGCAAATTTCAAAGATGATGTTGGCCATCTGGCTTCTGATTCCTTCTATTTCTACACACAACAAACTTGTCTTTTCCCTTAAAAAAAAAAGATGCTGTGCCACAAAGCATCTAATCAAATATTAATCAAGTTTATTATTTGAAAAACAAATGAAATCCTACAGCTACAGCCTAGGAGAATGAGCTCATTTCAACATTGCACTCTCAAAATCTTAATGGGTCCCAGATGTTTGATTATGAACCATACCATTGAAAATGGAAGAAAGAAATCCACATATGCATCAAAAGGCACATGAGTGATTTGATGAAACCTCAGAACAACCCTCGAAGGTAGTAAGGGCAGTGAAGCTTGGAACTGCTAAATGTCCTGCCCACAGTCACACAGCTAGTAGCTTTCCAATAGAGTTCCGATTCCTCTGTAATGCACACACTTCCCACTACCCTGAACTTCTTATTTAGAGATGCTCATGCGTAAGAAGACACGTTTAGGAGGGAGAGGCTTTCAGGCACAACAACTTCAGGTCCCCTAGATCAGTTTCCCAAGTACTGCGGGGATCACCCTTACCACATCTATGAAGGGCCATCGGCCCATTTCGGATTAAACCCATCCAAGGAGAGGAGATGCCCTAGTTTTCACTACAGCACGGCCCGTTGCTCAACAGCTATGGTTCTAAGCGAAGTAGAAACTGCATTCCTATGATTTCTCATTAAGCCACTTTTCTCCTCTTGACCAACCCCAACCCAAAATATAACTCTTATTCCACATGCCAGCCCTTCAAATGTATACCTGTTAAATGCCAGCCTCTCTCTCTCTCTCTTTCTCTCTCTCTCTCTCTCTCTCTCTCTCTCTCTCTCTCATCTTCTTTTCCAAATTAAAGAGCTCCAAATCCTTCAACCATCCTCCAGCATAGTTTCCGGCCCCTTCAGAATACTCACTCACCTGGGCACACACTATTCCGTATACCTTCATCAATTATGGCAGCCGTAATGAGCATTTAGACACACTGTGATTTTAGAACAATCTTTATAAGGACACATCTGTTATTTCTATAAATTTCTGCATCAATAGAAATCTTCATAAGCTGGCTTAGCAATTGGATTTCCTGCTTTTCAGAAACTACATGTCCAGTCAGTACTTAGGCAGGGGTGGGGAATGTCTGGCCCTCGGGCCGCGTAAGGCCTGTAAAATCATTTGGTCTGGCCCTGCCAAGGCATTAGGGGTGAGCTAATTAAACGTTTGACCAAATTTGGCAGGCTCATTTTTAAGTTGATAAATTTGTATGGCCCGCAAATTATGTTATCAATATCCAAATGGCCCTTGGCAGAAAAAGCGTTCCCCACCCCTGACTTAGAGTGACCATTTGGCTAACACAGAAGTCTGTTATTTCTCTGATGATTCTATGGAGTGATTTATTTATGATAATGCTTGAAAAAAACATAGCTAAATAGCTATACTGACTTCTCCTTCAGGTGACCAGAGAGACCGGGGGGGGGGGGAGCAATTCCTTATATTTTTCACCCTTTAGAGAATTTTGACCTAAGTGTATACATTAGTTGTCTATTGCTGCAAAACAAATTACCCCAAAACTGTGGGTCACAACATTGGGAGCAGCTTAGCTGATGGTTCTGGTCCGATGTCTCATGACACTGCAGTCAAGATTGCAGATGGCATTCAGTTATCTGCAGGCCCAGTGGGACTGGAGGATCTACTTCCAAGGTGGCTCTCCATAAGGCTGGCAAGGCAGCTGGTTCTTGGTGCGAAGTCTCAGCGCCTTTCCCTGTGGATCTCTCCACAGCACTGCTTGAGTTTCTCACAACATGGTGGCTGGATTCCCCCAGAAAGAGATCCAATGGACCAAGGTAAAAGCAGAAACGGCATTCCTGACTTAGTCTCGAAAATCATCCTGTCACCTGCACGGTGCTCTTGGTCACAAACCCCAGCTCCGAGTCGGTGTGGGAGGAGAGAAGACATGAGCATGAACACCAGGAGGTAAGGACCATCCATGTCGTGTTGGAGGCCAGCTGCCATAACGTACCTTCCCAAAGCACAGCAGGTCAGGATAGATACCCCGTTCCGTCTACAGGCAGCTACCCAAGTCCAAATCCCAATGGTGGCCTTGCAATTGTTTCACAATGCTTGCCTTTCCTCTGGTATTCAGCCTCTCTCTTCCAGATAAATTTCACCAAGTTCCTCCCCTCAAAATAGAACTATCTAGCACTACTGGCTATGTTTCTCAAATGTTTACCTTTGGTGCTGAAAGCAAACATAGTTGAGTTTGGGATATTAAATTTGCTACTCTAAGTGCAAATAAATAAGTCACTGATTTGAGCATGGGGAACAGTCATTGGCCTAACCAGGGGTTCTTAATCTGGGTACAGTTACTCTGGACTGCCTATGAGACTGTACGTATGCACACATGTGCAGTTATCCAGAGGGAGAGTCCATGGCTTTTATCAGCTCCTCAAGGGGCCATTCGTAACAACTGCCAAAGCCCCCATAAAATCCAGTCTTCCCTGTAAGGTTTTCCCAGTTAATGGACATAGATTTATTGAGCTGATTATTACATTATTACCTAAAGGAGTCCCCCAAACAGTTCACTGCCTGCTTTGTGATAATAGGGATAAATTCTTTAAATAGTTCTCCTTTTCAAGTTGTGCTGAAATAAACTCTGACAGTGGAGGACAAAGGAGGGACCCCGAGGAGGGAGAGATCCCCGGCCTGAGCATGCAGTGTCCTCTTAGGCCAGTGGTTCTCAACCTTCTGGACCTTCAAATACAGTTCCTCATGTGGTGACCCAACCATAAAATTATTTTCGTTGCTACTTCATAACTGTAATGTTGCTACTGTTATCAATCATAGTGTAAATATCTGATATGCAGGATGGTCTGAGGCGACCCCTGTGAAAGGGTCGTTCAACCGCCAAAGGTTGAGAACCGCTGTCTTAGGCAGCTCTCCCAGCCCGTGGCTGCTGCTGTGGCCCCTTCCAGCCATGCCCAGTGGCCAGCAGTGCGCAGCCCCTTCCATGAACAGCTTCTCCCACAACCCCTCCAGTGGCACCCCAGTGAGGACCATCAGTACAACACCCTCCATGAACAGCTTTCCTTCACCCCCTTAGCAGCTCTGCACCCTCAGGGAACTTCTCTGATGTGAGATGAGTCACAGTCACCAGACCTCTTCAAGGATGGTCTGTCTCAGCCCTCAGGCATAGCTGGTCCCTCTATCTGATTTTCTTACATTCCTCAGCATTCTCTTTGCTCCTTACCCGACATCTCCCTATCTTTCCAATTCCCTGTTGTGAGTAGGAATCTTTGTACTTAACCTTCCATATTCAGCATATTGTTTCTGCCTCCTAACTGGCCCCTGACTGACACAGAATTGCATCAGTAGTGATCCTAGGAGACAGACACACAGGCACTTGGAGGATTGCTGTGGCCGTGCCCTTTGGCCGCGCTCCTCCCCAGTGGGAAATGAGGCAGTTCATCCAACTCTCATCTGTGGTTGACAGCGATGATGAGCCAGCTGAAGCCAGGGATTGCCCAAGCGGTGGCCGCACAGGACCATCATGGCAGTTAAGGTGTCTATAAGGACAGGGGTAGGAGATCGATTCCTCTGAGAGCACCTTAGCCCTCATAGGAAGAAAGTGACGAGCTCGTGTCTTTCAACTCTCAGCTCAAGTCACAGTCAGAGACCAGAATGCTTCCCTGACACTCCCTGACAGCTATAAGGAACCATTTAGTTCTCTCGGGCACAGCAGTAATATCGTTGAAAATCAAGCACAACATTTTAACTGAAGGGTTGCTGAATTACAGCAATAACTGAATGCACAGACCCATCACATTTTTGTGACAGTTAGGGTATTACACGGGGAAGAATGGGATCCTGATCATTGGAGTGGGGGCATCCGCTTGGACCCAGATGACACTGACAACCTGGAAACCACGTCACTCAGCCTCCTCTGTCAGTGGATGTAGCCAGCCCTTTGCTGGAAAACTCTGTGATAACCTCACGTGGGGGCAGTTTCTTAAAAGAGGATCTTTATTCTCCTCCAGACCCACCAGCCCTATAAGCTGGGTTAAATTTCAGCATGCTCAGGGGCAAGTGCACACTGTGACCCAGGAAGAAATAGCTTACACAGAAAATAATGGCAAACTCTGCTAATGTGTCTCAGCAGAAATCAGGGACCTGCATGGGAATGTATTCTGAATGTGAGATCGAGGAGGGTGACATATGACACTAGACTGGGGCAATTAACTGATACGAATACACTGACTAGAGATTCCGCATTTAATGTGTTAGTTCATGAAGCTAAAGGTAACTTTCAGAATTGATTGACTGGCTGATTGATTGATTGATTGACTAAGACTGGGACCCATGGCCTACATGTAATATAGCTGCAATACCAGAGTTTTCCTGACACAATGTAGATCAAGGAATCCCGGGGCCAGGCAGATAGGCATGTTAAACCGTACCATGTATGTTACCTGCACATCCACTCTACCCCGCCAACATTCCATGAGAAGGCCCAGAAAATATGTTAGTGAGAGGAGCACCCCATCCTTATGGAGCTCTGGGGTTGCTCTCAGTGGCAGGCCTGGCGTGGCCGCAGGGGATGCTGCCTTGGGATGAACTCCCCAGTTGAAGTGCCAGTTGGGGACACAGCCGGGAAGGGTGGGGTCTGTTTGATAGGATGCCCTGTGTGCTTTCAGTCAGAGACCATGACGTGCAGAGAGGCATGTGGGTCGTTAGCTCACCTGCAAAAACACTTCTGTCCACCACTGGCGTTAAGAATAGCTGTGCTGTTCACTATCGCGGAGGACACAAAGTAGTAAGATGTAGCTGCCTTCAAGGAGTTTGCAATTTAGTTGGAAAAAATAAGCACGTAAGTGACTGTAAGAGACAAGGAAGTAAGGGAGGTGCCCCAGGCGCTTCTGCGACCCAGCTCATCTCAGCCAAAATCAGAGGAGGAAAGTGAGGGGAAGTGTGTCATCTGCCATGTCAAAGTGGGCTGGGCGATGTGCAAAAGGCAAACAGTAATTTACATGGTTCTTGCTTTCCTTGGCCTTTTCCAACGTTTCCTCACACTTCCCCCGGAGTTTCTGTTCATCAAAACCCCACCCCTGCCCTTCCCTGGCCCAGCTGGGATGCTCAGTTCGGCCTCCAGCTGCGCCGAGGAGATAAGACAGGCCCCACACCACCAGACTGGCATGTGTGCCTTCTCGAGGCCTGCCTTTCACTGCGCCATTCTTTTTTTTTTTTTTTAATTGATTTCAGAGAGGAAGGGAGAGGGAGAGAGATAGAAACATCAATGATGAGAGAGAATCATTGATCGGCTGCCTCCTGCATGCCCCCTACTGGGGATCAAGCCTGCAACCCAGGCATGTGCCCTTGACTGGAATCAAACCTGGGACCCTTCCGTCCTCAGGCCGACGCTCTATCCAATGAGCCAAACCAGCTAGGGCTCACTGCGCCATTCTTAAAGAGCCTCACCCTCACCCACTCTCCACCATCCTGCCAGGTTCACCTCCAGTAACTACAATTTTGTTGTTGTTGTTAACCTTCCCCGAGGATATTTTTTTCCCATTGATTTTTAGAGAAAGTGGAAGGGAGGGAGGGAGGGAGGGAGGAGGGGAGAGAGAGAGAGAAACATCGATGTGAGAGAGATACAATTGCTTGGTTACCCCCCGCACGCGCCCCAACAGGGGCTGGGGATTAAACCTGCACCCCAGGTACATGCCTTTGACTTGGAATTGAACCCGAAACCTTTGGATGCAAGGGCAACGCTCTAACCATTGTGCACACCGGCCAGGGCAACCATTTCTTTATGTTAGTAGTGCCTTCCTTATTAATTGTGTTAAGATTCCGAGGCCAGATCTTGGATCATGAGAATAATGGATTGGTTTGATTGACAAGGAAGAGGAAAGAGGAATGACAGCTAAGTCAAGTACTTTAAATACTGTACACTAGAAACCCATTTCACTCACTCATTTATTCATTCATTCATTCAAAGCACTTTGCACTCCAAAGATTTTATGCTTTTAATGTTTTATTGAAAAATATTTCCAAACTTGCCCTGACCGGTTTGGCTCAGTGGATAGAGCGTCGGCCTGCAGACTGAAAGGTCCCAGGTTCGATTCCGGTCAAGGGCATGTACCTTGGTTGCAGGCACATCCCCAGCAGGAGGTGTGCAGGAGGCAGCTGATTGATGTTTCTCTCTCATCGATGTTTCTAACTCTCTATCCCGCTCCCTTCCTCTCTGTAAAAAATCAATAAAATATATTAAAAAAAAAAAGAAAAATATTTCCAAACTTTATGCCTAACAATTTTTAAATAGTTGCATAATTGGTCAAGAGAAAAGGCCAAAGTTCTTAAGAAAAATCTTGGCTGACTTCACATTTCTTTCCCCTTCTTAATTTCTTTCTTTGTGTATTACTCCTCATGACTCCCTAGGGTTTGAAACTAGGTTGAGTCTTTGAAATAGCAAGCTGGCTTTGACCAAGAAAACTTGTTAAATTCCAGGCTTTAGGGAGTCATGGGACAGCTTCTTGAGTATAGTCTTTGTAATACTCATTGGTAAAGAATGCAGGATTTTATCTCCCTGAAGGGGTTTATGTTTCACAACTTTGACGTTGCCCAGAGCAAAATGCTCAGTTCTGTTGCAAGAAGCTGCACCTAAGATCACTCCAGAAGGAAGGCAAAGCAACTTAACATTAGCAGGGTGCCTATTACCAATGTGGGGGGGGGGGTGCTAGGTGCTTTTATCTAGTGAGCTCTTGAATCCCTTCAAGATAAACCCTAAGCCCCCACTTTCAAACTCACCCTTCCCCATCCTTAGCTGTTTTCTCAATGCTTCCGAGTGACATCTACTGCATTTACCATGTGGTAATTGTCTTTCTGTAAGTCTGTCTCTCTCACCAGACTATGAGCTCCCCTTAACCCTATTTTCATCACTGCTGCCCAGAACAATTTCTGCTGTATAATAACAATAAATATTATTGACTAGATGATAATACTCATTTTACAGAGAAGGGAAATGAGCTATAGAGAAGTTAAGTTATGTGCCCAAGGTCACAATAATCGATAGAGCTGTTGATATAAAAGCCCACAAAATTGATGGCATTTCTATTTGTTTCTATTTAACACTGCTTCTAGCTTCCGTTTCTGTAGGATTTTGGTGTTACCATCTATGTCCTCTTTCATGGTGCCGTAATAGACAGCGGAGTGTCTGGGAGAACTCCCAGATGGAAATCTGGCCACACTGAGGAGCTGTATCCTGGGGTTAGCAAAAACTGTTGGGGGAGGGGCATCATTCTTCAGACATCTGCTAGGAATCCCAGGTAGCTAAAAGCAGCATCCCCCAATTAACTTGCTGGTTATCCACCCAGAAGAACAACCACAGGAATCTCAACGTTGTGCCTGATTTTTATCTCTAATACATTTTCTTCTGTCATTTAATCACTGGCCATATTGCAGGCATTTTCCTGCTAACTCTTCAGCCAAACTCAGCATTTTAATCTATTACTTATCATCGCACAAATGACTGGAATCTCCTATAATTATATGCTTATAGCTTTTTATTTTGTCTATGAAAGTCATTCTTTGGTTAACATAGCCATTTCTTATTCACTCTTGTCCCAAATTGCAGCTTATAGAGTAGCACTTCAGGAAGGGAAAATCGTGGGGCTCCGCCCTTATAAACCCCTACATTTGTGAGGACACCAAGGGACCTACGAAAGTAAAGGCGCTTCAAGGAGGAAAAGAAAGCCCGGCATAAGTGGGTGCTTTTTCTCTGTTCAAATGAGAGATGATCTTTGCTCCCCACCATTTTTGTATCTGTGGAAGCTTCTATTTTTAAAAGTTGCTTGTTCACAAATTCTTCAGACTTTTATGTGAAGAATCTGAGAGTGATATTCAAGTTGTGGATCTCCTATTTACTATTCAAGTTGTGGATCTCCTATTTACTATTCTGTTATTAAATTTCTTATTAGAAGTGCTTAGTGTCATATTTTCAAGAGGAAATATACACAGTTTGTCACACAGGAAACAGACGAAATGCACCAGGAAGCTCACGACTGCTGTGGTTACCCACTCGGCCACTGGGTGGCTCCACTGCTTCGCTCCACTCTGTCTCCCATGGAAGTTTCCAGGAACACAGAGGAAGAGCGAGGCTTTATTTACAGAATGCTTAACTGGGAAGTGATGCAGCACTTACATCCTAGACATTTTATTCAGAAGCAGTTCTGCTCATGTATGCAGTATTTTCTTACGCTCTTTGATAACTGGGCGTTTGACTTGCCAAGAAGAGGGGGAAACCTCTATTTGTCCCTTAATATCTCATAATTTCCTATTCCAATGTTTTCATCAGAACCAAAATTTCTTCCTGTGTGACATCTTGGCTAGCTTCAGAGCTGTCATTTCCAGAGTCCTAAAGTAACTCAAGTGAAAACAACAACAAAATGTTACCATTAGCCCTAGCCAGTTTGGCCCAGTGGATAGAGCCTTGGACTGCAGTCCCAAGGGTCCTGGGTTCGATACCTCAGTTGCAGGCTCCTCCCAGGCTCTGGTTGCATGCAGGAGGCAACCAATCAATGTGTTTCTCTAACATCGATATTTCTCTGTCTTTCCCTCTCTCTTCCATTTTCTCTAAAAATCAATGGAAAAATATCCTCGGGTGAGGATTAAAAATAATAATTTTTAAAAAGTTATCTCTAGACAGGAATAGAATAAATTCTCCTTTTGGAAAGGTGGGAGGCTGTGTTGGTGTTGGCCTCTCCCTGTACAGATGTCATGTGCTCTGGTAGGGGCTAGTGAATAGAAGAAAGGTGGGGTAACCCACACCACAGATGTGCAATTGGCCTCAGGGTAAGGGATCTTTAAGGCTACTTCTCCCTAAGTTCACAGATCTACACCTTGGGTCTGGCCATTATTTAGACACTTGACCTCCATTTATATTTCAGTATGCCATGACACTAGCATTTTGTGCCTTTACGATAAACTTTTTCTCCATCCTGCCTTCTTTTAGTGTAATATTTCTCCCCCAAACCTACCGTTTTCTTCTGTGTTCTTTGTTCCATTTGCAATCTCTTATCCCCATTTTTTAAAATATATTTTTTATTGATTTTAGAGAGGAGAGGAGAGGGAGAGAGAGGTAGAAACATTGATGGTGAGAGAGAATCATTGACTGGCTGCCTCCTGCACACCCCACACTGGGGATCCAGCCGGCGACCCAGGCATATGCCCCAAATGGGAATCAAACTGTGATCTCCTGGTTCACAGGTCAATGCTCAACCAGTGAGCCATGTCAGCTGGGCTCCTAGCCCCATTTTAATTTTTTTCTTTTTTGCCATCCCTTTTCACTTGCTAGGTTGAGTGTATAATTTTTGAATGAGAGTCATTATTTTAAAAATTCTATTTTAGCCCTGAATCATTCCATCAGAGGAAAGGAATTCCAGAAATCTAGCATAAATGGTTCAGAATTTGAGGCGCCCCTGGATGTGAATACAATTCAATACTTGAGCTAGGAATCACTATCATTCAATAAATTAGCTGTGTAACGGATTTACTTATCTGCCTGGGGAAACCAATGAATGGTGGAATCGGATGACAAACATTTGAATTCAAACAGCAGTGAAATTGGAGAGAGATCATATTTTTGATTCTACAAACTATAAGTAGAGGAACTAAAATCAGAACTTGCTGTAGATGATAGAACTCTGAGTGAGAAAATAGAATTTAAATACCAAGTTTACCGTCTCAGGGAAAAAATAGTCGTAAGTTAAAGAATACATCATATTAAATATATTCAAGTAGGTAAGGAAGAAGAAGTAATGGGGGATCTTGAGTCTCAGGGTTGAGAATGATTTAATGTCATGGAATTCACAGAGTTCCCTGCAGAAGGCGGGGGAGAGGAGTAAAGAATATAATTGCTGACCAGGGAGAGAGGTTAATCTCAGCTATCATCGGACCAAGAGAAGACAAATCTACAAAAACCCTAAAAGCCCAGGCAGGTCACATCCATCCTTAAGGTAGGTCAGATCCCTTTTCTGTCTGTCCCATATGTCAATAGCGCTATCTCTCCTGTCAAAAACAGGGATATTTCCAGAGTGGGATTCACGTGGCAGCAGCTACCCCCACCGCAGAGGCTTCCTTCTCTCCCAAGGTTGCTGGGGTTAGACATGTGTTTTTTTGAATGAGACTGCAGTGGCTGGGCCCCACGGGACACTAGGTTATATGTAGGTTACATTTGAGTTATATTTGAGTCTCAGATAGGGCTAAATCTGAAATACTCTTCATCCATAAATAGACTTGTGTCGATAAAGATTTAGATTAAAAATATATTTAAAGCCCCGGCCAGCGTTGCTCAGTATGGCCAGCATTGTCCCATGCAACTGGTTCAGTTCCCAGTCAGGACACATACCTAGGTTTCGGATTCGATCCTTGGTGGGGCTCATACTGAAACCGATTGCTGTTTTCTCTTCTCTTACCTAGGTTTCGGATTCGATCCTTGGTGGGGCTTACTGGAGGAAACCGATTGCTGTTTCTCTCATCTCTCTCTCTCTCTCTCTCTCTCTCTCTCCCCCTTCTCTCTCTCTCCAAAAATCAGTAAAAACATATCTTCCAGTGAGAATATTTTAAAAATGTATTTAAATATTCCCAAATAATTAATGTATCTGTGCAAATATGCAGGCCCGTCTTGCAGCAACTTGAGTTCACTGTTCTTCCTTCCTCTTTATTTTAATAATGAGGTGTTTCCAGAATACAGAAAACTATAAAGAATTCTATAGTGAACTTGCAGGTACCTATCAGTCAACTCAAAGTATAACATCTTCCTTATTTGCCTGAGCACCTTACTTTGAATTTTTAAAAAACAATGAAAATATTTCAGGTGCAGATGAAATCCCAGTGCCCTCTCTCCCAAGCCTAGTCCCCATTATCCTTCCCTGTAAGTAACCACCAGCGTGAATCTGGCGTTTATCATTCCGTGTATGTTTTTATAGTTTGACAACAAAGGCATGAATTCCTAAGCATATATATATATATATATATATATATACACACACACACATATACACATACAGTGGGGCCTTGACTTACGAGTTTAATTCGTTCCGTGACGGAGCTCGTAACTCAAATTACTCATATGTCAAATCAATTTTCACCATTACAATGAATTGAATGCTAGGCTGATGTTGTGGCGTTCACTGTGACGTTCGCTGCGCCAACTAGCGGTTGGGTATCTGAAGCTGGCTCGTAACCCGAATTTTAACTTGCAACTCGAAGCAAAAAATCGGCCGAGAGACAGCTCGTATCTCGAAAAACTCATTAGTTGGGGCACTCGTAAGTCAAGGCCCCACTGTATATGAAAATATTTTAACCTTTTATAAAATAGCAACATACTGCATATAGCCTTGTGCGATTTGCTTTTTTTAAAAACTTAACATTGTATTTTTAAAGTTGTCTGTTTTGTGACATTCATTAAACTTCATCCATTGCATGTGAAAGGCATGTTACTAGTCAAACGGCAGGGCTCTGAGTCGGTAGATCTCATGGCCCAGCAATACTCACAATCTCTTTCTCACCTCCCCCACCACCCAGTCTTTCATTTCCCTTATATTTATTCTTACCTCCTCCTACTCAGAACTCCACTCAGATTCTCTCACCCCATCTCCTTCCCCATAACTCTTTCCTTACCATAAGTGTCATCTTTCCCACTTACATTTAGTTGCAGCTGCCCTGATCTGTAGGCTTATTTTTTAAAATATATTTTTATTGATTTCAGAGAGGAAGGGAGCGAGAGAGATAGAAACATCAATGATGAGAGAGAATCATTGATCGGCTGCCTCCTATACGCCCCACACTGGGGATAGAGCCCACAACCTGGACATGTGCCCTGACTGGGAAGCTAACCGTGACCTCCTGGATCACAGGTTGATGCTCCACCACTGAGCCACGCTGGCTGGGCTGTAGGCGTATTTTGCCTTAAACCCTGGGCCGGTGAACAGAGGCAACACTATCCACCTGTCCAAAAAGATAAGAAGGGTAGATAAGCAGGTGGTGACAGAGCATCCCAGTGAATCTGGGCCGGGCCTGGGGACCTGCTGGGCACCCCGGCCAGAGGCGGAGGAGAAGGAACATGGAGGGTGCTCCCCGGAGGCACCAAGGGGAAACGAACTCCAGGAAAGAGTAGAAAACCAAGACTGGAATCCCAAGGAGATCACGTGCCAGTGCCACGACCATGGGGTCGGAGGAAGGACCGAAGTCAGCCCGGCAGGGCCACGTTGACCTTGTGTTTGGCTCTATCAGTATGTGGCTCATGCAGGTGCCAGCAGCTGAGCCGAGAGCGGCCAACACAGGCAGACAGACAGCAGGAGGGTCGGAGAAAAGGTGGTGGCAGAAGGAGACGCCATGGGAGTGGTTGAGGCATGGGTTTGTAAGTAGCAAAACTGGCAGAGACTGTTGGGCGGAACCAGGCCCCAGGAATGACAGGAAGGCTGGCACAGGTGAGTGTCAGCTGCTGAGCAGGACGGACCAGGTTGGCCAGAACTAGAGCTGAAGTCGTGTTGGGCTTTGACTCAGGTAGAGGAGTTAGGAGAGAGTAGAAGAGACGCAGTAGCAAGCCGAGGCAGTGAATGGTCAGCGTGAAGCGAGACAGGGCAGGCCAGATGGCTGATGCCGTGGAGCCAACTTTCCGGCTGCAATCCAAGAACCAAAATAAATGTTAAGTCCAGCCTGGCGGGTGTAGCTCAGTGGTGGAGCATCGACCTATGAACCAGGAGGTCAGGGTTCGATCCCTAGTCAGGGCACATGTCAGGGTTGTGGGCTCGATCCCCAGGGTGGGGCGTGCAGGAGGCAGCCGATCAATGAGTCTCTCTCATCATTGATGTTTCTATCTCTCTCTCCCTCTCCCTTCCTCTCTGAAATCAATAAAAACATATTAAAAATCAAAACAAAATGTTAAGTCCATTTTAGTGAAGGCCAATTTTAATCTATGCTTTGCTGGTGATACAGGACCTGTAGCTATATCCATAATGCCCATGCGAAACCCACTCTGAAGTGGGGGCAATTGTCTCTGTAACTATTAGTCTAGATAGGTTCAACCAAAAGGAAAAGATGAAGGCAGAACCACTCAACACTATATTTAAACTGATGCACATTAATCCGGTTTAGAGGAGCTTGAGGAAATGTAACTGACAGTGTTGAAATTCACAGAACTTTTCATTGAGACTTCATTTTCCAGGAATAGCATTTCAGTTAGTCACATTTTTATCTTCCACTAAAGTGTACCTTTAATTTAGTAGAAATAACGACCAATTGAATACTAATATAATCTTGTTCTTTATACACAAAATAAAGAAGATGATTAGGCATCAAGACTGAGTCAAACATAGGTTAAAGTCTTTGGCTAAGAACAAACAATGGGCAAATTTTTAAGTTAGAATTTATAATTCCATTGTGAATTTAACTAACTTGTTAGTGTAACTTAGAATGTCAGCACATAAAAAAGATAACCCTGGGCCTGGCCGGGTAGCTCAGTGTGTTAGAGCATCATCCTGATATGCCAAGGTTGCGGGATCCATCCCTAGTCAGGGCACATACAAGAATCAATCAGTGAATGCATAAATAAGAGGAACAACAAGTCAGTGTTTCTCTCGCTCTTTCTCCCTTCCTCTATCCCTTTAAATCCATAAATAAATAATTTTTTAAAAAAGATAACCCTGCCAGGCTGGTGTGACTTGGCGGTTGAGTGTCAACCTATGAACCAGGAGGTCATGGTTCAATTCCTGGTCAGGGCACATGCCTGGGTTGTGGGCTTGATCCTCAGTAGGGAGTGTGCAGGAGGCAACTAATAAATGATTCTCTCTCATCATTGGTGTTTCTATCTCTCCCTTCTATTCTCTGAAATTAATAAAGACATATTTTTTTAAATGATAACTGGGTCTCAGTTGTAGCTATAGATTGTAAATCTTGTGTCAGATCAAATTTTTGCCAACAGATACTAATGACTTTACTGAAAACGGGATAGTCAGAATGGAATTGAAAGTGTAAACTCACCCAAGTCCATTATGATGTTAGCAAATAACTTCCTTATTATGATATTAGCAAATATTCAGTCTTTAAAATGATCCCTGATATATTCAACAGTCATCACGGGAGCATAATTTTTTAAATGATTTGTCCAAAGTTCCTATTCATCCATCCTAGCAATAGAGCCAAGTGTCTGAGATACAACAGCTGCCCTGGGAATCTTGTCCAACGAGCAAGCTCACTGCTATCCACAGTTATATCTGGTCTTTCCCACCCCCAAGCACACACAGAAGATTGTTGTCATTCTTGGCACTGGGCAATAGAAGTAGCAAGACATGCGGGCCAGGCGCCAGAGGCGGAATGTCCCTCCACCTGTTTTGTGCTGTAAGACAGACTTCCAGGGGCGAGGCGGTCGGAGGGCTGTGTCCTGGAGCGGCAGCTGAATGCGCCAGCAGGACCCTTGGCAGCAGGGCCTGGGCACTGAGGCTGGGCATTCAGGAGAGCTAAATGCAGAAAAAAAACTTGAGCAAACTGCTTCCTGGTACGCTGAGGACCTGAATGGGAAATGAAGACGTACCAGATTCTCGCTGTTCTTACACAGCCAAGGTCAGGTTTCCAACTCCGATTTATTCTGATATTTCCCCCCAAAAGTGCTATGGCAATGTACAAAGGCAATAAAAACTCTCTTTTTTTTCCTTTTAGAAAAGTGTTACTGCTGTGTTACGCTCTCGCTTGCAAAGTTCCCCCATCCCAAAGTAACAGCTTCATACCACAGTCCAGCACAGCCATGGCGGAGAGGTTCCTCTGGGAAGACGGGTGACTTATTCTAAATCTCCAAGGGACAGCTCCTTAGGTTGGAGGGCGGAATGTGCCAGCGTGCTTGTTGACTATGTCCCGTGCGATGTCATGTGAAAAAAGCTGGGGCTGAAGTCTGGCCTCTCCGGCCTGGCAGACACAAACCCCGCCACTAAGCGGGCCCCCTGGCCTGGGAGAACTTGCGGCAGGAAGGACTCCTCCAGAGTCCAGCACGCATTACCTGAGGAGGTGGGCTGGCAGCAGGAGGGGGAGCAGGTGCAGGCTGCTGTGAATTTTGTGCTGTGTGCCCGGTGCCTTCTGTAACCCAGGATTACAACCTAGAAGCCTAGCAGTTTGGGAGAATTCCTGCAGCAACTTTCAGTTTTTCAGGAAGCGCAAAAGTAATTGTTTATTCAAAATGAAACCTCAGGATGACTTTTAGTTAGAAAAAAAAATCTTGACTCTGGTTTCCTCTTAAGAAAATAAATTCGTTATTATGGAACAAATGTGTTTGCCTGTAAACAAAGTCTTTCAAAACAGACCTTTTATGGGGACAGTCCTTTTAAAAGGGGTTTTCAGTGGGAAGTGGAATAAAACATACTGTCCTAGAGAAGTGTTTAAGGGGTGTAATTTTCCCAATTATTTTCATTAAAAACTGACAAACAGTGGCTAACCTCCCATTATACTCCGCATCTAATTCATGGAAGTACTGGAGACTTGAAAAGACTACCCCGGGAGAGGCCATGGAAAGTTCCAGGCCTCTGCATCCGCAGGGACTTCCTTGCGGAGTGTCCCGGATCCAAGACCTTGCCTCTTGGCCGGGGCTGCAGGGAATGGTAGCAACCAGTAGAGGCAGACCTTGCTGGGCTGGGAGCTGGGAGCACTGTCCTGGAGCCTGAGCCCCGTCCTGGAGCCTGAGTCCCGTCCTGGAGCCTGAACCCCCTCCTGGAGCCTGAGCCCCGTCCTGGAGCCTGAACCCCCTCCTGGAGCCTGAGCCCCGTCCTGGAGCCTGAGCCCCATCCTGGAGCCAAGGGCCCTATCCTGGAGCCTGAACCCCGTCCTGGAGCTGGGAGCCTGAGCCCCGGACTGGAGTGGCACATCCTCTAGAGCCCAGGCAGAGTGTGCACCTCACTTCCACGGGGTCGAGAAATGTGGACAACAGCATCTATTACCAATCTCCCTCATTTCGTCGGCAAGAACAAGTGAGCTGTTTCAATGGGCACAGAAGTGCATTTGCTCATTAAACCGGCAGCACTGCTCAGAGACCAATCCTATGCCGGTTGTGTGCTCAGTGCTGGGGTGTAAAGGTGAAGGAGACTCATGGGCCCACAGTCAGGACTGTCCAAAACTGACGTAGGTAAATCATTCTGGGACAACAACCCAGCTGGGACCCGGGTTCCTCACCCTCCCGCCAGGGGTGTTGCACCCAAACTTTGCAAGGGACCCGTGTCTCCCTTCCATAGGATCCAAGAACCTTGGGTGCTGGACAGCTGCTCTGCCAGGGAAATCCTGTAAGAAGCTAACATCCAGCCCCAGACTGGATGATTCCAAGAAGTCTGACCACATCCCACCAGCCACGTCTTTCCCAACCTCATGTATCAGCACCGCGACCAGATACAATACACCTGTTTGCCTCTGTGGATACGGTTGGGACCTTTTGTGACTTGGAGTGTAGCCCCAAGTGTAGTTGCTGGGACGGCTAACAACCGAGGAGGCTTGAAGGATGGTGCTAGGACTTAGGTTTTAGGACTTGGTGTTAAGCCCCAGTGCTTAGATGGAGGAGGCCCAGAAAGTAGGGACACGTCACACAAAATCTTCCTGACTCTCAGTCCTAAGCATCGCTGCTTCAGATCCCAGGTGACACAGCAGAGCCCAGAGCACAGGAAGAGGCCCTCCCCTGCCTGACCATGCTGCTCTGACCCCCGCAGCAGTGACAGCCCTGCGGCCGTCCACGTGGCCCCGCAGGAAGCAGGCCTGGCGGAGCCAGAGCAGGAGAAAGGAGCAGGCGAATCTGCGAGGTTATAGCAGCGGGTGTGTGAGCAAGAATGACACATCCTGTTGGGGCCGCCCAGAAGTGGCCAGAGGACACAGAGGTCGAGCGGAGATCTGTTGTCACCTCTATAATTTGGACATCAAAGGAAAGGGGACCTGATTCACGGAGTCCGGGAGGCCTGGGCATGCTGTAGCTGAACTGTAGTTGCAATTAATAGGCTAGTGTATAAGTCACCTAGTCCACAGAGTAATGGTGGCTTACAATAAAACAAGGAGAATATTACCATTGCCCAGACTGAGACACAGGCCAAAGAATCTGTATTAGGTTATGCAAAAAGAATAACACAGAACGTGGGAAGAATGAAACTTGCTTCATGGGTAGTTTTTTACCACAGTCCCAGCATGTCTTTCCAAGAACTCGGGAGTGGAAATATGGATGGAAAATAAATGGTGGACTTGTCTTGGGCATTTCCACTTTACTTAAGACTGAGAAAATGTCAGTACCCATCCAAGGATGAGGGGTGGATGGACGTGGGTACTGTGGGACCACTGCTGAGCCCAGGGTGTCCTTAGCTTTTGAGCCATTTCCAAACCAGTCCTGTCAACTCCCACAGGACACATGGCTCCCTCTCCTCCAGGTAAGAGCCACCTGGGGTGCAGACGATGGGTCGCACATGTCAGAAGGCATGGCTACAGCCCTGGAAAACCCCCAGCCCTCTGGCATCCCACTGTGGGTTCCGATGAGAAACACCTTCCAGCCAACTCTCTATTGTGAGAGCAGCTTCCCTGAGAACAGAAGCAGGGAAGCACTCAGCGGCAGCCCAGCACTGCCATCCCACACTGTTTGTCCACTTCCCTCTCGCAACTACGCTCTCTCTCATCCTCCGGCTCTCGGCTGGTAAGTGACGTCCTCAGGAAAGCCTTCCCTGACTAGGCTAGCCTTTCGTTGCCCTCTTTACTTCCTCATACGTACCATTAGTTAAAATTGAAATAATTGTGTACTGAACTACTGTAGGTAATACGGACCAGGATCATGCCCATATTGTTCACCAGTGGACCCTCGGTGCCTGGCATGTGGTAAATAAAAAGTATTTGTTGCATGAACGAATGTTAACGACATCTGCAGAGCTTTCCCTACATGGCCTAAGGCTTCAGCTAATGCACTTGATGTTTCGCCTCATTTGTCCCACTTCTGCAATAAATATTTTGTTGTTTTTAATCCTCACCTGAGGATATTTTTTTCCACTGATTTTTAGAGAGAGTGGAAAGGAGGAGGGAGAGAGAGAGAGGGAAACATCAGTGTGAGAGAGGGACATTGATTGGTTGCCTCCTGCATGCCGATTGAACCTGCAACCCAGGTACATGCCCTTGACTGGAAATTGAACCCATGACCCTTAGGTGCACAGGCCACTGCCCAAACGACTGAGAAACACTGGGCAAATATGATCATGAATTACCTTTGCTATTTAAACCTGCAACCCAGGTACATGCCCTTGACTGGAAATTGAACCCATGACCCTTAGGTGCACAGGCCACTGCCCAAACGACTGAGAAACACTGGGCAAATATGATCATGAATTACCTTTGCTATTTAAACCTGCAACCCAGGTACATGCCCTTGACTGGAAATTGAACCCGTGATCCTTAGGTGCACAGGCCACTGCCCAAACCACCGAGAAACACTGGGCAAGGCTGCTATAAATATTGTTTTAATATTATATAAGCAATAAGTGAGTACATGATCTCTAAAATATTCAAACAACACATACACATAAATATGAAAGTGGTGGTCTTATATATGTAAATTATGCCACAGTCAAGCTATTTTTAAAAAGGTGTAACACATTCAGAGTGTTTTGGTGAGATTCTAATCAGAAGGCAGAAGCAGTGATAGATGTTGCAGAGGGAGTTCAATACAGGTGATGGACGAGGTGAGAGGCCAGAGATAGCCCACCATCAACCTGAGGCTCAAGGGACGAAGGAGAAGGCAGCGTTACTGGAGCCCCAGTGCTGACGCTGTACAGCAGGGCTGGGGACATAGACAAGATGCTGCCTGACACCATCAGAAGCAGAGAAGGGGAGAAATAGCCTGGCTTCTCCCCTCCTCATTCTCAGTGTTCCACCACGGGCCAGTTCTGTAAGGGCATCTAGGAAAACAGCCCCCAGGGATGCACAGCCCAGATTGAGGGTGGCAGAGAATAGATCTGAGAGCAAACGGACAAAAACCCAGCAGGTGCGGTTTAAAATTAAATACATAAATAGCATCAGGATGTATGCAGTGTTCTAAATGTATCACATCATTTTTCCAGGGATGAAATCGAGCTAAAATGCCGCGGAGAGCAGCTTGATTCACCGAATGGGGTATAGCAGCGGAGCATGGAGGGAGGAAGCAGCAGGGAGGTTTGTGCAGGAGAATGCACTTCCGGCGGAAGCAAAGGCAGGTCACAGTGGTAGCTCAGAGGACAGGTGTGGGTGCAGGTCTGGTTCCAAGGCAGCCAGGCCAGGCCTGCTCAGCAGAGAGTGGGAAGGGGGCGGGGTCGTGGTCAAGGAGTCAGAGATTTTAGACCTCAGAACTCAGGTTTCAACTCATGACTTCTGCAAAATGAGGAACCAAAACGCAGAGAAGTGATGGGGGAGGCCCCAGCAGCCCATTTCTTGACATCTTTTGCTCCCTGAGGCCTGGCAGGGGAGGCTTGGAGGACAGTTGAGCACCGAGCAGCCCGCAGAGACGATCTGGTGAGAAAGGGGCTCTAGAAGCAGCTGCTCCGCACAACCTGGTTTGTAGTGTTTGGGCACCTGGCATGTCTTACAGAGGGATGCGCCAAAGGAGACCTTTTCCTTAGAAGCTCCTCTAGCCTCCAGAGTCTGGATTTAATGGCCTTTGGCAAAACTGTGGAACCTCCAGCATGTGCTAGACGCAAAGATGAATAATGCGTTAAGGCACGAGCCTGGGCTTCCAGGAGTTCTCAGTCTCACGGGGGATCAGGAGCGATCCAGATGATTATGCTGCAATGTGGTAAATATAATGAGATCTGTGGCACGGAGGAGGGGTGAGTCGTTGCTGGGAGAGGGCAGCTCAGATGCGGGCACAGAGAAGGCTGCACAAGGGTGCCACTAGAGAAGGTGTAGAAGGAGGACTAGGAGCTCCAACTCCAATTTTAAAACAGCAGCATTAACCAACCTTGCCTGAAACACCACTGTTATTCCTCAATGATTTACAAAGCAACCATTCTTGCCCTACTTACCCTACTTCATGTGCAGTGGAAACCACACATACCTAACATTTTTTAAAATGACAGATAAAATGAATCCACTGGCCCCATGGATCAGGATCAGCAGGCCCAGATTGACCTTCAGAGACCGAAAAGATGATGATGATCCCCACGCGTAGTTTTTGATTGAATATATTGGGATGACATTGGTTAAGAAAATCATATAGGTTTCAGGTGTGCAAGTCTACACCATCTGTATATTGTT